TGCTCTCCATTTAAATGAGACATGAAATGCTACCGACTAATCTCCTGTTTCTATAAAAAAAAACAATGATTCAAATAACCACTTTAAAGGTTTTACCAACAAAAGAAAACTATTTTTACCATTTGTATATTTCTTGCAGATCTTGCATTTGTATGAGCATCAAACACACATAACCACATTATGCGCTGGCTGCTAGCTACTGAGGACAACACTGCTAACTTTGCCAATGTTGTCAAGTTGCATTGTTTAGCAAATGCAAAACCGACAGCAGTAGTCAACATAAAATTCAGTCGATGTGCATGTTATTTATCAAACAGGTGCACCGGGCTGGAAGCGCAGTTTGCCTTTCATCTGAGACACTGCTTGCGTGCGATCAGTGAAGTGTGCGTCTCTTATTCATGCAAATGCATTTAAAGGAGGATTGCACACATAACGGGGAGTATTTGATCAAAGTGGTTGACTGCACATTCTAGCACATTGAGACTCACCCAATATTCAAGGGTCAATTTTACAAGGAAAAGTCTTTGCATTTACCACACAGGTGCATATTTGAAATTGTAGGGAAGGTTGTGGTGGAGGAGATACAAATGAATAATCCTGCTTTCTGCATAAATCACCATGACAGCAGAAACATGTGTAGGAGAGCTACAGTGAATTATTTAGAAATGAGTGACAGCGCCTTAGAATTAAAAATGCAGCATTAATAAACAGGCACAACAGTACACCATGTTTTTACAAAACACAAACAGTGTGGAGAGATGTGGCTTTGTGGTCACCTAACCTGAACTTGAACTTGACTTCCTCTAAATGCATTACGCTGATGCACACTTGACATGTAGTTACAGTGGCATGTCTTAAAAGGGATTCTTTTTTCAATCAGGGTTTGGAAACTTAACATTTAACAAGTTCAGAATCACTACTTTTTTCTAATGTTGATTTCTTTCATGGTTCATTACCCCATATTACCCACATTTCACTGCTGTCTTTGGAAATCTGGTTTATATGCAGGATGCACCTAAAAAAACAGTCTGATAATTAGTTCCTGCTTTAGTAATCCAGACACTAATTTCATGTAGATTGCCAGTGCAAATATGTACATAAATCTTGCCCTGATGCTCAGTTTGGAACTGGGTACTGTGGGGATTAACAAAACCAAATTGTAAAAAGAACATTTCATAATGAAAAGAACTGTGGGAGAAAATGAGGTGACAATACGTCATTTTAGGGTGGCAATATCTATCATAAGCCTCAGAGGCTGTGCCACATTACACAAAATAAATGATAAACTGTTTAACCTTGAGACTTTGGAAAGCTTACAGCCAAATGTTGTCTCATTTAATGCCAAAGACATAAGTGTGTAGGTTGAAGGTTAATGTGGTGTTCTCTTGCTGTGAAGGAAATGTTAATAATAAAATAACTACATTTAGTGGCGACTAATATGTGCTCAATGTTACAAAACCTTTAGGTTCAACTACACAATACTCAGGTGCGTTAATAACAATATTTGAGGGAAAGGCTCGATACAATTATAATAGGATAATAAAGGTGGACATACAGGGGACATAGAAGATTGGGATTAATAGATGGGCACACAGGGCCTCACATTTTTATTGAATTAGTTTTGCATAGTTGGTATAAAATTCATTTTTAGATGATCCCTCTCCGGAAGCTCACCACTCCAATTGTATTTATTGCTGGCCAATAATAATATTGTCTCCACCAGCATCCACATTTACAATAATAATTCAATGTTCACTCTAACATTGCACTGAACGCATGTCATAGTGATACCTAGTAGGGGAAATAGTGTAGAATTAGTTGGAAATATTTAATAGAAAAAGGAATAACAACAGTACTAGACACAACAATTGTGGCCATGAAACGATCCTCCACACAAACTGATTTGTAAATATGTTCATTGTGGCATAAATTAGTGTTTAACATTAATGGACACTGGGAAATGTGGTTGTGCTTCAGAAGATTCAGTCAGTGAATATTATTTTTTGTCCACAGTAAAAACTGGCCATCATTTAAATCCATTTAAACTCAGATTAATCTTTGTTGTTCGGTAATGAGGAAATGACTAACTTGTAAAGCCCCATTTAAAGCCCACAAAGGTCGAGTGTTTGCTATTCAAAAAACAGAATTAGAGTGGAATATCTCTTTAAGGTATTTTAGGGAAACAAGGCCACATAACCGCGAGCCTAATTTGTGTTGTCATCTAGAGACACTTTGTAGAGCTGCTTCATTGGCGATGAATGAAAGAATGAAATTGTGGACTGATAGATTTAAGCAATTACACCCACATGAGCTTTATTTAATAGGAGTTAGGGCTAACATTGTTGAACCAAAAGATGTGCTTATATCCCAGTCAAATCACTCTGGGTTGTGTTACATTGTGCACAATGACGTCCTCTGATTCATTGTCCCTGAAGCAGCTTGAGGGCCTCTTAACGCCAGATCCCATTTGAACACATGGTGTGTTTTTCATAGCTTTGAGAAAGACATAATTTTCACAAATCTAGCTTTAACTTTAGCCATGAAAATAAAAACATTAATAGACAAGACTGATTTGCTGCTTAGAGGCACATTTGTACAATTGAGGAAACATGTTTAGATGATGACAAATAACAGCTCCCATGTTTTATTGCGGTAAATCAGCTTTTGGTTACTCTTCTACCATTAAAACACATTGTTGAAGAGCAGGACACTGGAACAATTATTCTGCTGCATATTGTTACATTATTAAGGTCTTGTATTATTTCCTTTTTTTGGAAATATTAGCATAAATACTAAGACATTATATACGGTTACATATATTTTGGATGCTCATCACAAGAGTCAGCGGAAATGATTTTTAGCAGACATGCAAGTGCTGCATGACAGCGGGAACTCCCAGTGACCCAAAGTTTTCCTGCTATGTTGACCATTTAGAAGGCTGTGGCACAGCACACTTCATCTAGTGATGTTAGCTTTTATGCTAACTCCAGGGAAAGTTAGTGTAATCTTGTCCTGTTGGTTGGTGCTGACACTAATTTCCTGGGACAGGACGTGTAGCGGTGTGTGATTTAGCGGCGTATGCTAAGTGCTGCTGGAGCTGCAGGCTAGTCTGTGGGCGCCAGGGCAGAGAGAGCAAGCTGGGAAAGTACTGACTTGACTAACTGGCCTGATTAGACCGGGTGTGAGATGACATGGATCAGATATACGCACTCACCCATCCGGAAAGGCAGAGTGGCAGAATTACAGAAAGAGTTCAAAGCTGAGGCACATTAAGAGCAAATTATTGGGATAAATATGAAGAGCATACATGGATGCAAAGTTAAAAAAACGAGGAGAGGGCAGGATGAAGAGATACAGAGACACTGGGTTAATGTTGTGGACGTGATGTTTCCTCCTGGGGTGTTTTTCAGCTCTGCTGGACTGTGGTGGTGTAAGAAATTGGCTGAGATGCAACGTAGCATTCGCATCATGGTTTCATTAGCTCTCATTCAGCCCAAGGCATTTCACACTGCATTTGCTCTACTCATCTGCTCCTCTTAGATCTGCTCACATTACAGGAAAAGGTAACACAGAGTAAGTTGAAGTGGGAACAGGAGCTTAAACTCTTCTGTATTAGACTGGAATTCGGTTAGGATATAGAGTTGAAAGAAACGTTATTTTTCATTTTGTGAATGTTATTGATTGATGCAGACACTTGTGTGCCTTTAGCGTTTTGGAATGTTTCCCCTCATACCCCCATGACTTGGGTAAATCAGATGACATTTATTTCAGGGTTATTTTGTCCATTAATAGCTAACACTTTACTTTGAACATTGCCTACAGGCATAGATTATGTTCAAATAAAGGCAGACAGTGGAAGAGAGATTTAGGGTGTCTCATGAAGCCCGATTAGTTATTTTGCAAAAATAAAGTTCGCCTTTAACCCTGCTCAACCAATGGTTGCACACTTTGAAAAATGAAATGTGTGATTGTTGAATAGAGGAAGACAGAATGAGGACAGTACCTTCCAGCTCCAGTTTGTTCCTATCATGTAGTCTTTGGCATTTCAGTTGAGACATGCACTAATAATCACATTCAGCTCACATTCTGCACTGTTTTTCCTAGCACAAGCCACTCTTTGAGAAACCCAGCCGGTCATTTTACAGCACTTACAGCGTTTTTGAAGACATTTTCAGAATAAACAAGACTCTTATATCCCAATGGTCCGAAATATATTATTCTGTCCACAGCACGGTGAAGTCGATTTTTTACTTGTTTGAAAAGGTGTGACTCAATTTCTTTCAAGCAAACCAAGATAGCAAGAAGTGGGAGTTCATGTAGGACACAGGGAAAATATAAGCAGGGCTTGTGAAAAAGAAACAAGATGATATTTTTTGCTGGACTAGAGAGAGTCAAATGTTTAATATAATCTGAAGACTAAAATGTCTACAGACTAAAACTACGAACCACTACTTTTCTTTGATTAAAATAATAAATAATACCCAGACTTATATACTTATATGATGAATCTATAGTCTCTATATTAAATATGGGCAGCTGTAAATCAGGAAGTAAAGCAGGTCATGCACACAATTTGAAGATTGGGAGTTTGACAGTTCCTACAGTTGAATACTAAAAACGTAATCATTGGTGAATGAAAGAGAGGTCGAAAGTAGATAAATATAGCTCTCTATCTTTACAACCTCTAAAAGCGCTTGTACATTCATCCATTCACACCTCATTCATACAGAGCCACTTGCTCGAGGAAGTTAACATTCACACTCCATTGGCCATACCATCGGGAATGACTCGGGTTGAAGTATCTTGCCCAAGGATACACCTACATGTTGGCTGGGATCAAACACACAACCTTCTGATTGAAAGATGAACGCACTACCTACAGGAAGTTTGGTTACATGACAAGACAAAGAAATATTGTCACTTGTTTTTTATTTCAGCTTTGTTACTTACATTGACAAGATGGTACTTTGGGTTAATTTTCCGTGCTTGTGTGCTCTCAGGGTATGATGGGTGTAGTGGGCTGGATGTTGCTCCTACTCTCCCAGATGATGGTGCCTGCGGCGTCCCAGAAGCCTCCAGGTCTCAGTGTGGGTGTCATCATGGGCGAGACGCGCTACCTCTCCGATCAGGAGCTTCGCCCGGATCTGCGCCCCGATGACACCCTGGACGTCTCTGTGGTTATACTGAGGATCAACCAGACGGACCCCAAGTCTGTCATCACACAGGTTAGAAATATGTTGTACAGTCATTAACAGGGATGGTAGGGGTAACAAAAACGGTACAAAGTAAAAGTATTGTTAATTTATAACGCAAGTAGAAGTAAAAGTAATAAATAAGCGTTAAAAGGTATCTCGTCAAAAGGTGAATAACTTCATCGGATACAAAAACATTAAAACACATCCCTAAATGTTTTTTTAGATTCGATTTGGTCTTCTTGAAAGTTGAGATTGTCTCTGTTCCGGGCTGACAAAGTGGGCACCCCACAATAATTTTGGCCCATTAAATTGCTCCTTGTCATTTAAAAAGCAAACAAAGTCTTCATTGTTGATTAGGGATGATCACTTTTATAGGAAACTATGGCTTTTTTATATCAATGATCTTCATTAATGTTTACTGCAGGGAGTAGGCCACACACCATTCAGTCAGATTAATCACATTTTATTTATGAAGCCCAATATATAAAAATACACATGTCTCAGGGGGTTTTACAGTATGTACAGCATACAACCCACTCTGTCCTATGAAATCCCACAATGGAGAAAAATAGAAGAGCTGCAGTGCTTTGATTGGCTGGAAGGACATGTTATTGGTCGCTCTTGGATAATTGCTGTTATGCATGTGAGCGCAGCCTAAAATTAAAATGATTTGAAGCTAAACGTAGCCGTTGGGATAACAATTAGTTTGCTGCCCAGTATAGCTGAAAAAGAGTACACATATTTTATTGTAAATGTGTTTGAGTTGAAACAAGTATTCCATAACAACTAATCTTAGAAGTACAATTTATTCAAATAAAGCACATTAGACGCAGAACTTGTCACATCACTATTCATCAATATTACACACATACACACACTGTCTATAACACACAAATATACACACACCTGAGTTTGTTTCCCTGTGTCGCCAGGTGTGTGAGCTTCTGTCCCGCACTCGTCTCCATGGCCTTGTGTTTGCTGATGGCACCGATCAGGAGGCCATCGCCCAGATCCTCGACTTCCTCTCCGTTCAGACGCAGCTTCCAATCCTGGGAGTCCACGGAGGCTCCTCTATGATTATGGCTGACAAGGTGAGCGACCGCGACACATCTAAGCACACACACAGAAATGTTTTTTTCCCTTACAGTGTTTCTTGTTTTGGAGATTAGTTGTAATCCTTCCTTTCAGCCACCTTCAAATGTTGAAGGATGAAGCTCCTTAAGCTACACTTTCTCAGATGTCCTGACATGTTAGCAATTAGGTCAGACTCTGAAATGCAACTCACAATTCAACCTTATTCTCTACGCTACTGCATGACAAATTACACGCTCTATAAATCGCAATATACAAACGTTATTTTATAAAGTATCTGAGCTATGTTTATATTCTCAGCTGGTGGCAATATAAATGTTCAAAGCTTTTTCCAATAGAGTTCTAATGGATCTTGTTTGTGGTTGTTTGAGTTAAGAACGGACATGCTTCACTTGTGTCATTTTTAAGTCTGAGGAATTGTATTCAGCAAGTTGTAGATTAGAAAAAGACACACCGGGAGGTTTTGGAAGCTTGTTTTTGCAATCACAGCTGCTCTAGCGGATTTATCTTTTAAGTATTAATAAGTACAAACACTGCAAAGGCACTGGATTGATGGCTTGTATCACCCTAAGCAGTTTATGTTAATTAGAATCCGAGAGGTTACATAGTGCACATTATAAAGTGCAGTATTCATAAAGTCAGTAGAAGTCTTTGAATAGAACATGCAGCCTTCTCTGGTACATCATTTTTGAGTTTCCAAAAATGATCAAGCATTGTTTGAATATGTAATAATGCATGTTCTGCTTGGGCTGAAACTGGGCTATGCAATGCCCAGAAAAAGGAAAAGAAAAATCATGAGCTGTAGCTGCATCACTCCAAGAGCTCAGTGGGATGCCAGAAAAATGTATTTCCCGTTTTTGAAAAGAAAGTCATCCTTTAAGATTGGATTTTTGTTTTAGTTCGGTGTAGGGTTCACTGCAAAGTTAGGGATGTACATCTCTTTCTTTGCTGAATTCTCTCTCTGGTACTGACTCTGTAGACCTCGTTATATGACAGACTGACTGAAGCTTTGATAAAAACACAACTGGTTCTTTAGCTTTTAATTCTCTCAGGGCACAGCAGCCAAAACACAGGAACCAATAACTGCTGCAGAACGGCAGCCTTTGAAGTAGCAGTTGATGGGCGATGCAGTGTGTGAGAAAAGACACAAAAAGAGACAGAGGAAGGGAAGAGAGACGTTGGCCTCAAGGTCAAGGGAGTGAGGTTGCAAAATGAAGGTCACCGGCTTAAACCTCCCACTGGGTATATAATGATGCGGAAAATAAATAAATGGTGGTTTTCCCTCCTTCACTCGCTGCCGTTGATGTGCCATTAAACAAGGTACTTAACCCCCTACTGCTCTAATTGAACTGCTCACTGGCCAAAAGTACAAGAGTGTGTCTGTTTTCTGCAACTCCCAGGTGTGAGCGTGAGTGGGTGAAGCGCATAACTAAGCAGACCCCCGCAACTCCTTCCTGCAGGCCTGTCCTTTAAATGAAAACTCTCCCTGCCCAGTTATAATAAGGGCAAAAACAGCCCACTGGAAGGCAAGTATGGAGGCTCAGTGAGTCAGAAAATCATTGAGAATGCATTGTTTTTTTCTCAATTTATGATGTGTGTGTGGTCAGAAGGATATAGTCCAAATATGTGGAGAAAAGGTGTGAGAGGATATTAATGATTTTCCTCCCCTGAATCCCCTCGTTCAATTTTAAATAATTTCATTGTTTATTGTTGTACCTCCTGCAAGGGTTGTTTTCATGACCTATTGATTATTTTTTAAATAATCCTTTATTTTGTACGCCTTTGAAATACTGCACAATGCTGAAAACTGCTAATATGTGAATCAATAATAATGTGAAACACATTCCCTTTTGTCAAAAATACTGAACAGGCTGCAGTATACACCTTTATTGAGAGGAGTACTTAACCTCTCCTCACTCTAATACATGTAATAAAGACATTAGTATGGATACACACACATTCCCACATCCAGAAGTGACATCTTTAAAAAGCTTTTATTGTTTGACCAACAGTACCAAACCCAAATATATTACATTTATAACGATATAAACCAGATGAAACGAGCAAATTGTCACGTCTGGCGTTTTTTTCTTGATAAATTACTAAATTATTGATTGATTCTCAAAATAAAGGCAATTATTTGTCTGTTGATCGTCTAATTGATCCATCAACGACTTGTTTCGTCACCAGTCATGTTGCTGTGTTGCAGCATGTTGCTTTTTCGCCTGGGGACGGAGCCAAACTAGACCATTATGGAGGTGATGGACTCTGTGAGGCTGACACATGTGCTCAACACTCACACTGTGGGGGTGATCTCATCCCAATGACCATGCTTTACCACTGCTCTGAACTAAATCAGCTTATTTATTTCCAAATAAGACACACATTTAAAAGAAAATGGTGTGAATAGTTGGAATAAAGAAACCCCAACGAACACATTTGACCTTCAAAGCAATACCAGACTTAATGTAATACTTCTTGGACTGCTGCTTTTATACCTGCTGTCAGTGGAGGGGTGATTATCTGGAGGATCCAAAGAAATCCCAGTGGGCCCATAACAATTCAACCTGATTACTGCGGTCTAACAAACAATATTGTGCTTTCTGCAGTCTGAGCAAGCAGAGCCTCGCGTCTCTGTCTCCACACACACACACACACACACACACACACACACACACACACACACACACACACACACACACACACACACACACACACACACACACACACACACACACACACACACACACACACACACACACACACACACACCACACACACACACACACACACACACACACACACACACACTCACACACACGTTATGTTAATGTTGCAATCAATCTACATTATAGCTATGCCTTGGTTATCCTGGCTCAGTGGTGATCTGCAACTAATGTTTTAGATGGAAAGCGAAAAAACTGAAAGAAGGAGAGAGTGCCAAGAAAATACAGAAAAATCTCTTCGGCAGGCAAGTGCTCTAAAATATTGGAAATACGTGGAGGTGGGCAGTGCAGCGTGTGAAATACTTGGTGTTAAAGCGACTTTAAGTTGCCAAGAAGCAAATTTAATGGTCATGATTATGTCACATTTCATGTAAGGGCTTTCTGTGCTTGTCATTTTTATCAGCAGTTGGCTGCAGAGTCATCATCATCATATTACAGGTGTCCCTGAAAACTGTGATTTGTACGAGAGACATCCTGCAGAGACTCCTCAGGTTTAAAATGATTCCTCAATATTTCCTCAAGTCTTCACAGTATGAATTTTAAGCTCAGTTCTAATCAGTTTTTTCTTGACACTAGAATATTTTTAACCACTTTTCATTTGAGTATAAATATGTTGATATTCAATGTTGTGTGAGGTTTATCACGACAGGACCATGTGCTGTCAAGATTTTTGCTTTAATCTTTTTCCACCTTATTGACTGGTGGTTTCGTAACGTTGCAAGAAAAAGTGTAAGATCTCTAAATAATTATAATTAATATACGCTGTATAAGAAGAAGCTTCAGACCTTAAGAAACTGAGGCAATTCTTCCCAACTACAAACCCTGGCTATCACCAGAAGTGATGTGTCCACACCATCATTCATCTCCCTCTCACCTGATGCCTGTATCCTGCAAATAGACCCCAATACATGAAGCTTTTAAAAAAGTTTAACACGAACAGAATGGGAAAAATCTTCCTTCGTCGTTGGTGTGCGAATGTCCTCAGGTCACTTACAAACATGCACATCCCCATATATTCATTCTGCCATTAATACATTAATAAACTAATGAATGAATAAAACATTTTAAGAATAAGGATATAAATAATAACCTACAGGCAGGAGTTGGCTCTACATGGGATGTTGTGTTTCAGCGTGATTTGTTTGTCAGCAGTTTTGGAACAACTACTAACCTGTTATCCTCTAACCTGAGTCACAGGTGGATACACACATTAAGTTGAATGTCTTCTAATGTTGAGAGATAGGGCATTTATGATGCATTCATGCGATGAGAGAAAAATCGGTAATAATGACTTCCTGACTCTGAAGCAGCCTTCAACGTGTGGTTTAAACACTCAGAGCATTTTAAAATAACACGTCTTCTTTCTCCTAAACACACGTAAATGCAGAGTCTGCGCTCTTAGAATATAATTCTAATTAATTGTTTGTGATTTCTTTATTGACTAATTATTGATTTTTTAAGAAGAATGCACCTGAAAATAAATAGACAAAGAAAACATCTGTTATTACAATAAAAGGCTTAACAAACAACATAAAAGAAAAAGATGAAATATTGATCTACAAGACAGAAGTGAACCTCTCTGACACTAATAATATTTTTTCATTCAAGTGTCTGCTTTTGCGTACTCTGTACTCCTCCTTGTATCCACAATAAATGTCTTCCCAATTGGACCGGCTCTAACAAATCAAAGAATCATCCATTTGTGTAGTGCCAAATCAATTTTTTATCCTGGATGAAACAAAAGGATCAATGTCACAACAGGTCCAGCTCCCCCCCCTCTCTCTTTCAATCTTCCCCAGCCTCCTCGTCATCCCTTATAATGCATGTGTGGAGCAGTGAGGAATAATGTATTGGAAGTTGGATGGTGTGCTGGGAGAAGGGAGTCACGTTCAGGGGGCACAGCGCTGACGTGAAGAGAGGGCATGTGGAAAGCCCAGGAGAGGATCCGGATTAGTTAGGAATGTTGTACTTCCATTAGTGCAGGACCGCTTTGGGAAATAAGAGATGTTGTTGGATTTACCCCCCCGCCCCCGCCACACTTTAACTCATTCCCCCTCATTCAACCTTGTGCATCTCATCTTTTGACTTCACTTCCTACTTCTCGCTGTGCGGGGCATAAAGCGCGGGTGGGGGTTGGGGGTCACAGTGCGTAGCGTAGGAACACGAACATGCTGAAATGGAGGGTTGTGAATTAAACATGCGTGTTCTTTCTGCTTTGCTCTGCTGTTGCGCTGGTGGGATGCTGCTCTTGGTGTATGTCTGTGTGTGTCTCT